GTGCTTTTGGCCTACTCTGGGATGCTGATGTCGGCTTTGGGATCCTTGGCCGGGTTTAGGGTTTAGGGTTCAGGGTTTAGGGTTCAGAGTTCAGGGGTTAGGGTTTAGGGTTTAGGGTTTAGGGTTCAGGGTTTAGGGTTTAGGGTTCAGGGTTCAGGGTTTAGGGTTCAGGGCTTAGGGTTCAGGGTTTAGGTTCTAGCGTCCAGGGTTTAGGATTCAGGGTTTTGGGCTGGAGTTCGATTAGATTTGGGCGTTTAAGGGATGGAGTTGCATGGCTTTTTCCTACATTTGCTCGAGGCCTGCTTTATGTGTTTAAAGAGGCTGCCAGAACATGGTTCTTATAGTGGTTTGATGGGGTTTCGGGCTCCCACAGGACTAGGGGCTAACTAAGAAGGTTATATATCATAGGCAGAGTCAGGTAGAGTTATAAGTGCTTGAATTGAAGTTTTTCCTGCTTGTAGCCAGACTTATCATTCATTTATTCCAAATAATGAGGGGGCCTCAACAATCAGTCTACGAAAGCATTCCCGTATATTCCCGATATAGCTTGAGTGCAATATCCCAAAAACCTATTCTGCTCTGTAATTGTTACGGCCGCTGTGTTTAAGCCTGTAACACCGCGTAAAAGATCCATCAAACACCTTTCCACTTAGTAGCGACCCAAAACCCCTAAACCCCAAACCTTCAAACCTAAACCCGAAACCTTAAACCTACACCCTAATTCTAAACCCCCAAACCCCGAACTCTAGTCTCAGTCCTAAACCTTAAAACCTAAATCCCAAGATTCCTTGACAGCACTTGGAGGTTCATGACTAGTTATAAGTGGGGTTACAAGTCCCCTAGTATGAGCAATAACTATGGTTACCTTACTTATAACTTGACTTAGTAAGGACCCTAAACCCCCAAACCCCAAACCCTAATACCTAAACCCTAAACCTTAAACCCCTAAACCCACCTACCCCAATACCTAAACCTTGAAACCTAAACCCTCATACCTAAACCCTAAACCTTAAAACCTAAACCCTAAACCTTAAAACCTAAACCCTAGACCTTAAAGCCTAAACCCTACACCTCAACCCTAAACTCCCCAGGCCTCTTCCTCACTGCCAGCTACACGGCTCTTTGCATCGGCTTCTGCGTGCCTCGGATCTGAAGATGAGCTTTGGGGGTTCAGGGTTTCGGGTTCCTTAAAGGGTTCAGGGTTTAGAGCTTAGGGTTTAGGGTTTCTTAGGGTTTAGGGGTTTAGGGTTCAGTGCTTAGGATTCCTTAAACGGTTTAGGGTTTAGGGTTTAGAGGGTTCAGGGTTTAGGGTTCCTTAAAGGGTGCAGGTTTTAAGGTTCCTTAAAGGGTTCCTCAATTAAGGAATATACCTTCGGTAACTCATAGGATCCCCAACATGATTTCGGTATACTCCTTAATTACAGGGGTTTTGGACGGTCTGGAGGTTTAGGGCTTCTTAACAGGATCCTGAAAGGGGGTCCATACGGGATCTATACGACTTTAGGGGGTTTCGGTTTTAGGGTTTGGGGTTGAGCGTTTAGGGTTCGGGTTTTACTATTCTTTAGACTTCCTTGCAATACTTACTGTATATGTACCATAATGTGCTGAAGAATGTTGGTCTCATTATTCTGACTATTAAGGCTGCAATGTTAGCTTTGAGGGTGTAGTGTAGGGTTTATGTACTGATGCAGCAACTGGTACCTGGTAGCTTTATTCCGTATGGTTCCTCTACATATAAGTACATATATATATATATGTATACACACATATGTATACATATATATATATATATGTATGTGTGTATACATATGTATGTATGTATGTATGTATGTATGTATGTATGTATGTATGTATGTAGGGTTCTGGAGCAAGTCACTGCCACAGAGCGGTGACATAGCCGGCAACCCCAGTGCCGAAGGTAGGCACGCCTGACTCGTCGCAGCAATAGGACTGCGGCGTGGCCGGTCTCCGGCTTGGCATCGGAGGCTGCGAAGCCGCCGGTCGTCTGCAAGGGCTAGAGTACACGCTGCCAGGGCCGCCACAAGGCCACCCCGTGTACGGGACCTACAATACCTGGCGCGCCACCACAGCGCTCCCAAGTACCGGGAGCTGAGACGTATGGGCAAGAAGCCACAATGGGACGACTGGCGAGGACAGCGATCGCGACAGGCATCGTCGTCTGCCTATGGTTGGCAGCAGAAGGGCGGTGGCAAGGGCAAGGCCCACTGGTGGGGCCAGGAGACGCGGGACAACAACAACGACAACCGGTTCCCGACCTACGACATGATGGACTCCAGGCCCAGGGCGACGGCCGGCCAGCAAGCAACCGGAAGTGGACCGGAGCAACGAGTGGTGGAGGCGGCCGAGGGCACCGGCGACATGGTCCACCTCGTGCAGAAGCTGGTGAATGCAGTGAGAAAGGCCGACGGCAAGATCCGCAAGGGCGACAAAGAACGAGAGGATGCCTGTGGGAAGTGGACCAACTTCCAAGAGGGGCTCAAGCAGGCCTTTGCGAAGGAGCGGACCAAGCACTACGATCGGCTCAACAAGCTCAAGGAGGAGCAGCAGGACCACCAGAGCGCCAAGGACCAGGCTTTAAGGGCCCTCCAGGAGCTGTTCACCAACCCGCAGCCTCTACGCCCTCCAGCGCCGACGGAAACGGAGCAAGCGATCAATGCGGAGTGGGACCAGCTGCTGAGCCAGGCAGAGGACCCGGTGGAAGGCCTACCAGGCCTGATCGCGGCGGCCATCGCCCATGGAGGAGCCGCCAAGGAGAAAGCGAGGACCCAGATGATGGCGGCCTTGGGTGTCAGCACGTCAGGACCGGCGCCGACGACCCCACCTGCAAGACCTACACGGCCGCTACGGAGTGTGACACCACCAGCGAACAAGGTGGTGGAGGTCAAGACCTCGGAGGATGGGGAGGCCACCGCCTATGGTGCCATGAGCGTCGACGAGGACCCGTACTTGTCCTCCCCGCGGACTGCGGACACGGCGAGGATGCTCGAGACGCCCTTGGGAAAACAAAGGCAGAAGCAGCCTCCGGGCAGAATGCCGATCAAGCTCATGAACCGTGCACCCTCACAGCCAAGAGCATCCCGGACCTCGCTGACAGAGAAGCTGGAGGCAGCACGAGCGGCGACCGACCTCACCGAGGAGATCGAGGAAAGCGGCGACGAGGATGTCGTCGTGGGCAATCTGGCCAAGGCCCACCGAGAGGGTGGCTAGGGCTGGCTTGCAATGGCAATCAGTGCCAGTGGACGCTGTGCGGGAGGGCCGCACAGGAACTACATGGCACGGAGGACTATGATGGATGTGCAAGGCTTTTTCGGCCCGTCCTTGCACAGTGCAGGCATGTTCTTTCTTATCAATGCTGGACGTCATGGGATGGCGGCTCAGCAGAGCTTGGTGGCTTTTTCGGTTTGTCCACCCCCTCAAGCATGTCCCCTTGGGACTTTGAGCACCTACAGCTCCAGACAGAGAAGCCCAATTCCCGCAATCATGGGCCGAAATGGAGCCTAACAGCCCACCGTAACAGTGGGAATTTGCAGCCCGACCAGAAGAGTCTGATCTTCACTGGCAATCAGTTAGAAGACCACATCGTGCAGGACGACATCGCCTTCTACAAGGTGCCATCCTCGAAGGAGGAAATCCACATCCCGGTCATGGCCTTGAAGGACAAGACGATCACCTTGGATGTCGAGGCCAACAACAAGAGTGACAATGGCAAGGCTAAGATCCATGCCAAGGAAGGCACCATGCCCGACCAGCAGCGCCTGATCTTTGGTGGCAAGAAGTCGGAAGCTGGCTGTATCCTCCCTGGTTACAACATCCAGGATGAATCCACCGTTCAATCGGTGCTATGTCTGCGGGGCGATATGCAGATTTCTTTCAAGACCCTGACGGGCAAGATGATCACCTTGGACGATGAGGCCAACGACACCATCGACAATGTCAAGGCTGAGAACCAGGACAAGGAAGGCGTCCCGCCGGAACAGCAACGTCTGATCCTCGCGGGCAAGCAGTTGGAAGACGGCCCTACGTGGCCGGATTACAACATCCAAAAGGAATCCATACCTCACTTGGGGCCGCGCCCACAAGACGATATGCAGACATTGGCTGAGACCATGATGGATCCGACGATCAAGTTGGACGTGGGGGACAGTGGCATCAGCGACAATGTCAAGACTAAGATCCACTACAAGGAAGGCACCCCGCCCGAACAGCAGCGCCTGATCTTAGCTGGCAAGCAGCTGGAAGACGGCTGTACTCGGGCAGAATACAACATCCAAAAGGAATCCACCCTCCACTTGGGGCTGCGATCGCGAAGCAGTATGCAGACCTTGGTCAAGACCATTGCGGACAAGACGATCACGTTGGCCGCTGAGACCAGTGACACCATCGACAATGGCAAGGCTAAGATTCGGTACAAGGAAGGCACCCCCCCCGACCAGCAGTGCTCGATCTTCGCTGGCAAACAGCTAGAAGAAGACAGTACGCGATCGGATTACAACATCCAGAAGGAATCCATACCTCACTTGGGGGTGGATTACAACATCCAGAAGGAATCCACCCATTTGGGGCTGCGCTCGCGAAGCAGTATGCAGCCCTCTGTCAAGACCATTGCGGACAAGACGGTCACGTTCGACGCTGTGACCAGTGACACCGTCGACAATAGCAAGGCTAAGATCCATGACAAGGAAGGCACACCTCCCGACCAGCAGTGCTCGATCTTCGCTAGCAAGCAGTCAGAGGACGGCCATACGCGGTCGGATTACAACATCCAGAAGGAATCCACCCCCCACTTGGGGAAGCGCATGCCAGACGATGTGCAGATTTCCTTCAAGACCATCGCGGGCAAGACGATCGTGGGTGACGCCGAGACCAGCGACACCGTCGACAATGTCAAGGCTAAGATCCAGGGCAAGGAAGGCAACCCGCAGGAACAGCAGCGTTTGGGGCACGGCCCTACGGGAGGCCACGACCCCAAGTTCGAGAATATGACGATCTATGACATCATGGACGTGCACGAGATCGTCATGAAGTGGATGCTGGAAAAAGCATGGCGGCTACTTGCGGCAGCGGCAGAGACAGCAGCTACGGCTACACTCTCGCTGGTGATGGCCCAGCTTGTTGCACTCTCGTTACTGCTCGCGAGTTATAGCTGCAAAAGACATCCGTTTGGCAAGGCCCGCCCGGTATGGATGCGCATCATTCTCTTTGCGGCAGTGATCAGTGGGACACAAGCTGGTTTTGGAGATGGTGCTCAGTCTAAGTGCAGCAAAACTGGCATCCCGCTCCCTACTGACTTGGAGTTGTGGATGAACGGGCAAGCGACGATGAGGGAGCAGCTCGCAGATGCCTTTGAAAGGCATGTGGCGTCCATGCCGCTGGGGCACAACAGTGAAGTGGCGCCGCCACCGGATTTTACTGTGCCCATACCAGACCCCCCTCCTCCGCCTCCACAACAGCTGCAGCCGCACGAGCACTGGATCAACAGAGAGGAACCAGCTACAACTCATATCTCTTTCTGGATCTGTGCGCCCTACTACGAGTCCATGTCGTTGGATGTGGCGATGAGCTTCCCCCTCACCATCAACCGCGTCTTTGAGGCCATCCAGAACTCAGCGATCGATATGCCAACTGACATCTTGGACCACCCGGTTGCCATAACGCCTCAACCTGATGAAGCCTATGGATCAGTGTTGATGATCCCTGCTTGGATCAGGATGTCTGACAAGACAGCAGTGGTACTTGATGGGAGGCATGTGGGAGCGGGTATCTTCGCGGCCTACTTCGAGGGACCCCTAACAAAAAGAGCCCTGCTCCAGAAGATCGGTATGGGGATGGATGAAGGTATCTCCGTATTTCTATTTGGCTCGCTGCAGCCAATGACTGACGACCAGCGGGAGCCACCAAGTCAGGGTGGACTCATCCTCTTCCACCGGCGCGGAGAAGTACCAGAGTGGGCTACGGAGCTCGACACCAGGCTCGCGGACACCACCAGATGGAGGCCTGAAGTCGACCACCCGCAGCACCTCCCAGGACGCCACATTGAATTTCAAGGAGAAGAACAAACATTTCTTCACCAACTTGATAGAACTGTGGCGCCTGACCCGCAACGAATGGCGGATCATGCCTTTGGGGCCGCCCAAGGTGAAGTCTGGATCAGAGCCCCCACACAAAGACCCATGCGGATGTATGCCAGGGGAAAAAGAGTCCACTCCATCATTGCGGTGCTGGGTGCGAGCCGCTACCCCAGGGACCGCACAAAGGTGGTCTTCCTTGACACCAGACCCATTGGGCTTTGGCCGCAGTGGGTGGCGGTACCGGGAGACTTCCTGGACCCGGGGGCATACGCAGAAGGCCTCCAAATCCCCTACATTGAGGGCTACTCCTTGATCATCAAAGGAGGGCGGCGACATCGGGACGGAGTCAGGATTCGGGTCCTTGATGGGGAGGTCATTGAGTTCCTCCTGAAAAGATCCGATGAGGTCACGCCTACCTCGTCCAGTTTCGACCCAGACTCGGGCGATGATGAAGAGGACCGCAACGGAGATGAGGGTGATGACAACGACCACCCCATGCCCAATTCCAGTGACTTCTCGGACCCATCGCCGCCCGAAGGGGACGGTCCTTACGGACCGCCGCCACCACAGCCGGTGAACAGGAGCCGTTCGCCAAGGAGACGTTCAGGCGAGCCCCAAGGGCCACATATGGACGGCAACGAGAGGGGCACTACTGCGGTCCGGCTTGCTGACTATGTCCATCCCCCGCAGTTTGACATCTCGAAGGAGAATATCTTGTTCCCGGGGGTGCAAGAGAATATCAGGACCCTGATGCGTCCATGGTCACCTGAGTGGCTGAAACCTGACCTCAGCCAGTGCGACATGAAGCAGACCACCAAGGAAAGACTGAGGGAGACGGCCCATTGGGCCGATATCTTGGGAGCCCAGGACCCCTTCTCTTTGCACATCTATACAGATGGCTCTTGGCTGGCGCCAAGGAAGCTTGGTGGCTACGGAGTGGTGCTCCTCTTGATGACCACCACGGCCACAGCCCTGTTTGGCGTACTGGGAGAGCAAACACAGGGGAATAGTCAATCCCCTTGGGACTTTGAAGGCCCCCCGGCGCTCAAGAATGAACAGTTGGCGATCGGAGCGGCCCTACTGTGGCTGGTTCAGGCGAGGACCTACTTTGGGCCGGCTACGGTGTCCTTGCACTACGACTGCCTTGCGGCAGGACTACCGGCAAAGGGAGAATGGCCTAGCACGACGGACTTCTCCAAACGGCTGCGAGACCTACAAAGATGGGCCGACAGCATACTGCCCTCCCCGATCTGCTATCAGCACGTCAAAGCGCATGTCGGTGAGCCTTTCAATGAAATGGCAGACTCGATAGCCAAAGCAGCGGCGGTCGGAGCCACCTACGCTGCCCCCCCTCACCATGTGGCGCGGAAACTACTGGAGGAAGATTTCTCATGGGTTGCCATCATGAACTCATTGTCAGGTGCGGCAGCCTACCCATGGGCCGAAGGACCCTCCCTGAGCTGGCGTCAAGAAGAGCATGATTGGGCCACTACTCTGTCTCCACAACAGCTTATCCCCACCACATGCACCAACTATGGCAAGAATGAGGAAGCTGTGGTTGATTTCGAGACGGTTGTGGTGACATGGAACGTGCAGGGCATCGGAGGCCAGCACAGATATATTGAGGAGCAGCTCCAACATCTTCAATGTGGCATCGCCCTGCTCCAGGAGACCAAGCACCCCTCCAGCTTGTGCTCCTCCTCCAGATTCCTCCGATTGTCCACCCAGGCGGACAAGCATTGGGGAGTTGCTATCTGGCTGAGCAACACGTGCGGAGCCCTGCGGATAGCTGGCAAGCCGATCACGATTAAGGAGGCTGACCTCTATGTCTGCTACGAATCCCCGAGGCTGCTCATTCTCTCTATTGCAGTTGGGAATGCGAAGGTCATTGTTTTCTCGGCCCATTGCCCTCACAGCGGCAACAGGGAGGAAGCACGGCAGTTTCTCCTCCATCTTCAGGAGGAATTGCGCCCCGACAAGAAGCAAGCTCTTATCATCGGGGGGATCGACCTCAACGGCCGGATCGAGATCAATGTCCCAGGCGTAACGGGTGACCTACAACATGGGGAGCCGGATGCCACGGGAATCGAGGCTGCTGCCCTTTGCCGAGACCTAGGTCTTTGGGTGCCCACCACCTACAGTCGGTACCATCGTGGACAGCTAGCGACCTACCGTCACCCCCAAGCCACGGAGCACAGGATTGACTACGTCCTGCAGGGTGGCGCAGCGGAGATTCAAGAGGCAAGCACCACTGTGCGACAAGATCTTGATGCCGGTGGTGCTGGTGATGATCACTGGCCTGTGTCTGCACGATTCAGAGGCCGACTCCAACCAATCAAGAATACAAGGCGTCTGTGGAGGCCCAAGTTTGATGTGGCAAAGATGCTGACTGTGCCAGGCCGGGAGATCATAGCGCAGGCCATGAACACCTACAGCCCGCCGCCGTGGACGACCCACCCGGATCAACACTGCCAGCACCTCAATGACTTCATCCACAGCATCCTCGACAGACATTTTGTCAAAGAAGCCGAAGGCCCGAGGGCCTCCTACATAACGGAGGAAATGTGGGACCTACGGCAAAAGAAGATGAACTTCAAGAAGCGGGTACGCCACAGGGCCACCCTGTGGCAAGACCTGCTCCACAGGGCATTGCTGCAATGGAGGGAGCGCAGCGACTATGGCATTGAAGCCCTGCTGGCCAAACAGGGCATCCTCTACCAGCTGGCCTCGGCTTCCATACAGCTGGCTACCAGGACGCTCAAGAAAAACATCCGGCAGGCCAAGGAGAATTTCTTGAGAGCGACAGCAGCCGAAGGCGGAGGCACTGCTGCAGACATACTTGGCCGGATAAAGCGGGCTGGGATTGGAGGCAGCAAGTCAAGACAGCCCTTCAAGCCCCTTCCGCTACTCTACGCCGAGGCGGAACAACCAGTGCGGTCATGTGAGGATCGAGACTCCCTTTGGCTGCACTACTTCGGAGAGCAGGAAATGGGCACCATCCTGGACACGGTGGATTTCCTACGAGAGCCCTACAAGCCGATTCTGGTTGACGAGACAGTCGACTGGAATCTCCAGATCCTGCCCAGCCTCGGTGAAATAGAGCAGACCCTGAGGGGTCTTTCCACACGGAAGGCCTCGGGCCTCGACGCCATCCCTGCGGAGTTCCTCAAGGCGGCCCCAGGGCCGACTGCTGCGGCGGTACATAGCCTTTTCTTCAAGGCTATGGCTACTTTCCAGCAACCCCTCCATTGGAGGGGGGGAATCCTCTACGAGTGCTGGAAAAGATCAGGCAAACAATCGGACCCGGCCATGTACCGATCGCTGTTTGTCAGCTCCATGATGGGCAAGACCTACCACAAGCTGCTTCGACAGAAGGTCCAGGCTGAGGTCAACAACAGCCTGCACAGCTTCCATTTGGGGGCCCGCAAAGGCACCCCGGTCTGCATGCCCTCCCTGTACATCCTGACACACATCAGGAAGACGGCGGCCCGGGGACTCTCTTCCTCGGTCCTGTTCCTCGATACACACGCCGCCTACTACAGGATCATCAGACAGCTCGCGCTTGGACATCTACATTCCGACACGGAAGTCCTGACCGTCTTCCGACGTTTTGGCCTGGAACCCAGCGACGTGCACGATCTGATGGAGCAGATCCAGATGGGGGGCATGCTCAAAGACGCCAGGATCCCATCTGCGGTGCGACATGCGGCCAAGGATCTGCACCACAGAGCCTGGTTTGTCTCCGCCCATAGTTCCGGATCCCAACTCTGCTGTACGACAGCAGGCAGTCGGCCAGGAGAAGCATGGGCGGACATTGTGTATGCTTTCGTTTACTCCCGAGTCTTGTACCGCATTGAGGAGTACGCGAGGGGCGAGGGATTGTTGGACACGATACATGTCGATGCCTCAGAGGGCCCCTTTGCGGAAGCTGGCAGTGGCGTTCCTTCCGAGGGAGGCGATGCCACATGGGCCGACGACTCTGCATGGCCAATCTCTGGGGAAACCCCATCGAGTCTCCTCCGCAAGATGTCCCGCCTCTGCTCGCTTGTTCTCAGCAGCTGCTACCAGCACGGCATGCAACCGAACCTTCGACCCAACAAGACGTCCGTCATTTTTGCCCTAAGGGGCAAGGGCCGAGTTGCGGCGAGACAGAAGTTTTTCGGACAGGGCAAGCCGGTGCTGAAGCTCCACGACCTCGAGAAGGAGATCCCAGTCGCGCTGCAGTACAAGCACTTGGGGGGCCTGGTTGACTGCCGCAACCTCATGGCCCCCGAGGCAAAAAGAAGATTGGCAATGGCGGCGGCAGCCTTTGACCAGGCCAAGGACATGCTGTACCTCAACAACAAGATCTCCCTGCAGGTCCGCGCGGCGCTCTTCGCTGCAACAGTTGGGGCTACCTTTCACAATCTTGCCCAATGGATACCCCACGGGCAAGACTGGGCTATCCTCTATGGCGGGTACTCTAGACCTCTTCGCCGACTTCTTACTCGGGACTTTCCGGGCGAAGCTCTACTACATGTTCCCCCAGCTCTGGTACACCTCCTCACAGGTTCGTGGCCGTTGGAGCTTGTGGCCAAGCGGGCGAGGCTAAGCCTTCTTGGCTCATTGGCGCGAGCAGCGCCGGAACTTCTATGGGGTGCGCTCCAGGAAGAACAGTCCTGGCTACGAGTTGTCAGGGCGGACCTACAATGGCTGGTCCAAAAGGATGAGGACGAATGGCCGGCGCTCCGGCCGGCCTCATGGCCGGAATGGCGCAACATCTTCTTGCGCGCGGCGAGTTGGGTAAAACGGAGAACGAGCAAAAAGCTCAAGGCGGAGTTCATCGACCTCTGCGAGCACTACAAGGTGTCTTTGACCATCTGGGCGGTCTACAAGAGGATCGAGAACCACATCCCGGGACACAGCGAGGTTCCCACGAGGTGGATCTGCCGTCCATGCCAGCGCTCGTTCAGAACAAAAGGAGGCCTCGGTGCTCACTTCTTTAAAACCCACAAACGATGTGCGGGCTACAGGGCTGTCGTCGAGGGGACCACCTGTCAGGCTTGTGGAAAAGCCTACTGGTCAACCAATCGTCTACTACGGCACCTACGCGACTCCCCGAAGTGTGTTGCCACCCTTCGTAGCCATGGACTTCTTGCCCGGAACCATGTCCCGGGCTTCGGGAGCAAACTCTGGAAGAAGATGGAGATCGAGGGCTACAACCCGAGTGTGCCCCAGGAGGTTTCCACCCCCTTACAGCCAAGAGAGAGCTCTGATTGGGACCCTGTCCAAAAGGCGGCGCACGCGGAGCTCTGCAATGTCCTACTCGACAGGCAGTTGCCTGTGGATGCAGATGGAATCCTGGGCCTGATCAGAGCGACCGTCAGCAAGTTCCCCCTCTACCAGGACGAGATCAACGACATCGTGGACTTTGTCTGGACAGAGGCTCAGGAGATCGGACAAGAACTAATGGCCGAGTTCTGGTCGGTCGAACTTGCAGATGCAATGGCTGAGGCATTCAGAGTTTTTCTCTCATGCGAATGGCCTGTTGATGAACAGCCCAAACCGGACCCCCAAGTTGGCATGACCCATTGGGACATTGCCGCCCACATGAATGAAGATAAGTGGGCTTCGATCTGGTCGGCGGCTACAGGTGTTCACGGGACCCCTTCGAGCTGCACTTTTGAGCTGAGCCCCTGCTGGGAAACCGAGTGGCGGGGCCTGAGCGGTGTAGCTACTGTCTCGGTCGTGAACAGTCACCTGTGGAGCTGGCTGCCAGAAGTTTTGCGCCAAGTCGTACAGGCGGCCCTGGAGGGGCATAGCCCACGCTTGAAGGCGCCGAGTTCATTCTGGCAGCACCAGATTTCAGTGCCGTTTCGGCGCTTCGCACAGCTTGCAAGTAATTAAGTCGCGCACTCCACTGACGTCACGCAAAGTGCAAATGTATGTATGTATGTATGTATGTATGTATGTATGTATGTATGTATGTATGTATGTATATATATATATATATGTATATCGATGTG